CAAAGTTTCATCAACTTGAGGAAATATTTTTAGATAGAGTGCTGATTTAATTGACACAATTAAATAACAGCACATTTTTCATTCTGCGCCAAGTTCTTTAGCCTTATGTCTTTGTCTTCTGAGTTGTACTGTAGTGCTGGAATCTTGTTATAATTAGCTTTTACTAGTTTATTTTTTATTACAGGTACTTATATATATCACTGACAATTTACAGAACGAGATAGATACATATATATTTATTTATTTATTTGTTTTTTTGTGCATTCACATCAGTCCCTGCCCTCAAGGAGGTTACAATCTAAGGTCCCTAACTCACATTCATACATACATATACTAGGGCCAACTTAGACAGGAGCCAATTAGTTTTACTCATTTAATAATTTAAAGGGAATGTGTCAATGATTATATATGGTTTACAAAACAATAGTGCAGTGCTAAGATAAATTAAAATGTAAAATATATCAAACTCTTATGTGTCACCACAAATTAAAAAATAAAAGAATCAAAATGTGAAACCAAAAACTGTGAATTCAGTGGTGCTTCAATCATAAGATAAATGACAAATGTGGATACCAAATGCCACCAAAACTTCTTAATGATGAAGCACACAGCACCTCGGTGTGCAACAAAGGGAGGCTTACCAGAATCATATGACCCCCCAAATAAGAATGGTCAACCAGCACTTGTGTATCAATTCAAACTTACGTAAATAAGAGGAGTATCTCATCCTTTATTGGACAGCTCTTTCCAAAGTTTCCATCCAACGAAGTTGTCCTCTAATGTCAGCTGCCGCTGTACTGTCTTTTAAAATAAGCCACGGTGCTCTGGGAATCTTTTCTCATGTATTAAATATTTTTATGCAACTCAAAACTGTATACATATAGTTAAAAGTTCATACAAAAACATCCATGTATACACATCTTAAAAATATTATAGTTTTCCTTTAAAAACAATGATTTTATATTGGAAAGCAGTATTTTCAGGAGGACAGCTGACTTTCTGTCCTGAATTCACATAGGACTAATCTATATTTTGCCCCTTTCGCATAAACACTTGTCTGACTTCGATCAACATACAAAAGCAAACACACATCAAGTATCTATATGGCTGTTTAAGTCTACGCATACACATTTGTAAATGTTATTTGGAGTTGTTAGAAATTTTGTATATAGCCCTAAAGAACAGAGAGTACACATTTCACATGTCAGAACAGTCCGTTTGTGCTTTTCCTGCTGCTTCACTGCAAACAGGAAATTGGAAACTTTTTATTCAGAGAAAAGACATAGAGTATACAGTACCATAGATGCATCTACGAACTTAGAAACACTGCCATCTACTGGTTGAAGAAGGGGTTAGACAAAAAATGGAAACACTACATCACTTACAGGTGTGAAAGTGACATGTTTTGCATTGAAAGTGAAAGTGGTGTAACATTATTTTGCTTCTGCTGTGTGATGAGACACCTAGCTAACAGGCAGAAAGCATCACTTTCATCATTCACTGCGTGCGCTGCTAGTAATAGTGAGCATCAAAGAAGGAAAATTGTTGGTGCCCTCTTAGCTGGTGCCTCTTTATCTGAAGTTGCCAATTTATTTGCTGTGTCGTGAGGTACAGTATCAAAGGTTATGATGGCATATACAGTTTCCGGGAAAACATTGTCGGATAAGCATTAGCGCGGTCGACATGGTCAACTGACCGAAATAGACTAAAGGACATTGTGCAGGATTGTGACCCAGAATAAGAAAACAAAGTGACTGCAGAGTTCAATCTCAGTCTTCACTTTCAAGTGTCTGGCTGCTGTGTGATGTCTATAGACAAGTTTAGATGCTAATATTTATTACTGACTATTTGTCATTGTTCTCTGATATAGTCTGTGTAAATATATTTTCAGTGTCTGTCAGTGTCTACAAATGGCAAACTGCCAAGAGATTATAATTGGAGTGGAATAACATCAACTACAAATTGATATAGATTTTTAGAGTATAAACTACTGCCTTAAGACCATTAACATTGTTATGCAAATATTTGCATAATTGTACTATTAATGGCAAAGCCTGCATGAGATATGAGTAGAAATGTTCTGCGGTTATCACTCCATCATTAAACATAGATAAAGTAATAGAAGTGTTGTTGAAATCTCATTTATGGTGCATAATTGAAACATAATGGAGTTATATAAGAACTTGAATTAGTCTTTGTAAAAACAATTATCTCTCAGTTGCTTCTTCTTGACTCCAGTAACATACAGCTATACTACCACAAATTCTATTATGTTATTATCACATGGAAAATAGACGGAATGATTGCATTTTAAATGAAACAAGTTTGCAGTTCTGAACTCAGTAATTATTAGCCCATTTCATTCTGGTTAGTACTGGCCAACTGTTAATCGATTTCATTTCAGGACCAGTGATATGATTGATAAAAATTGATTATAATTTGAAATATCATTATTAATACTAATAATAATAATAATTATTATTATTTATTATAATTTTCTTGTTAGTACTGGCCTACTGTTAACTGATTTCATTTCAGGACCAATGATACGACACAAATGTTATTATAATTAAAAATAATAACAATAATAATAGTAATATATATTATTATTATTATTTTCTATTACTTCCAAAGTCTACTCTAGATGGATGTTACAGAGTTAGCTGCAAATCTTTACACAGTAAATTGTGTGAATATTCATTTAATTATTCAGTCATGTGCTGATGAAAAAGGTAAACAGAAATTGGATTTTTACTTGATTGGAACTTTCATACCTTTAGTAAATCAGCCTCAATCTCCCACCTCTTGTAGCCCTTGTACCCCAATAGATCATTTTTTTTACCATCTTTGTCTACGTGTAATTGTAAATTCTGCTTTATATTCTGATAGGCATCGATCCTATCTTACCTGATAGCAGTTTCATATATACAGATAGAAGAAGAATCTGTATATATATATATATATATATATATATATATATATATATAAAAAAAATATTGCTGTCTGTGTCCCTGCTAGGGAGAGTCACCCCTCTATTTTTCCTGGTAATCTTTGTCACAGAGACAGAAAGTGATCTGAAATCAGACATTTTAGATTAATGACCAGAGCAAAATGGGAGGAAAATTTCTGTTCCAATGACAGCTCTTAGACTGGAATTCTGTTCACTTTGGAAAGATTACCTTTAATTTCCTGTTGCATCTCAATGAAGGGACATTTCTCTAGCTGGACATAGGCACTGAAAAATTATCTGAGAGGAGTTTTAACCCTTCTCTACTACTTTGTTTAAAACTAAAGGAAATATATTCCCTTTACATGTACTTGTATAATGTACAGAGTGCAGGGGTTGGGAGTAAGGATGAGCTAAGGTGTGGGCCAAACTGAGATTTTGCCCAAACCTGCGAAAAACTGTCACATGATGGCAGACCATCAGTCCAATCAACTCTGACCATGGAATTTATCACCCCACAGCTGCACCTAACAAAGTAGTGTGAATATTGGAAACGTCCTTGATCTAACATGGCCGCATGGTCATATTTGAATAATGTCATTGACAGGGACTAGGAGTGTGTAATGTACAGGGTGCAGGGGTCATATATATGTTATGCACAAAATGAAAGGGTCAGGAGTATGTAAGCTACAGATTTCATGGGTCAGGAGTATGTAACATATGGAGAGCAGAGATCTTGAATATGTAGTGTGCTGATTGCAGGGGTCATGAATATATAACATACTGAGTGCAGGAGTATGTATTGTACTAAGTGCAAGGGTCAGGGGTATAAACAGCCCAGCCCACAGAACCTCTTATTGTTAACACAGATATGTCCCTATGGAACATTCTGAAAACACACTCACCCACAATGATACACAATGATACACACACAGTCACTTACATTTACACTCTCACAATGGCATGCACTCACACACAATGATAAACACACCCTCACTCACAGACATTAGATGTCACTTACTTTACTGGCCAGTCAATCACTCTGCTGTCCCTCTACCCATTTCAGTTCCCCCTGTCCCTACTACTGACAGAAAAGCACAGGGACAGCAGGACTGAGGCGAAACAGCATACTATACATAAGGTCCCCCACCTTGCATCAACACAGAACTGCAGATCCCCGTAGACAATGTCTGGCAGTCACGGCAGCAGAGAACGTAGATGGCAATGGCTTTGTCACCCAGGGGCCAAACCAGACATATAGGACATGAGCCCTGGGTGCCAGCAATAGTGAGGTTCATGAATAGAGAATATTGTATTGGTATTAATCACTCAGATTTATGAAACTGCATTCCAGTAAGTTATGTGCTGTTATCCATGTACTGTATGTTGATGTGTGTGTTACACCTCTATTGTATAAGCCAGTCCAATGATTATTTATTCTATTAGTCTTTGTCTACCTAGTTTTAACACCTTTGTAATCACAGTACAACTTTTTTTTAGTCATCACGCACAGTGACCCCTACCGTAACATTGTTAATTAATATTGATCAAAGAACTGCTATTGTTCACTTGAGTATGTTCCTTGTTTTCAGACTCCAAGTCATAGAGTTATAGTAAATTTACTAACATACTGACACTTCTAAATTTGATATGGACATTTAAACTTCAAATAAACTCACAAACAAATACTTTTAATATGGGTTAAACAGAGATAGTTGATTTTGATGACAGCTGCACCAATACACATACTTCCCTTCCCTGTTACTCCTTACAGCTTCTGTTAACCTCAGGTCTTGGAGCTTACATAGGGCTGAGGACTCTTCCCATGTGACGGTGGCCACTAATCAAGCACCAGTACTTTCACACGGGAGGAAGATGAGTGAGTCACATACTCCCTTATAGCCAGTACTTGGTATATCTCATCACTTGGAGTCAGGGGACAATACGTACTTGCTTCTGTTGGAGATATTAACAAAGTAAACCTGTTGCTTGACCCTACAACACTCTGCTTATGAGAATCTTTCATGTAGAATTGTGTGTTATGTTTTTGTAGATGATGGCTCCAGTGTTGAAGATACAGATTTTAACTGGGATGAGTATCTAGAAGAAACAGCATCAAGTGCTGCACCACACACTTCTTTCAGACATGTATGTATTCTGTTATAGTTTTTTTGGTGTTTAGTCACTGAGCTATATGCTACATTAAGTAAAACGTCAGTTAATACCTGGAAATTGGTATCACAAAGCAAATCAAAGATCAAAGCAAGTTAGTTTACTTGAAAATTCAAAGAATTCTTGGTTAGCCTTTTCTGTTACTTGATACAATTTACTTTTCTAATGTTTTAGTCTTTAGCTCATTGTGCTTTCAAACTAATAACTCTCTTTAGCTTTTTAAATGTCAGCACTTTATTTCAAATGAAAAATGCTATTCTTTCTGCTTTCTCTATTCATTTAAATGACATATTGAGCAATTAGCTATTGCAATGGATCTATTAGACCAGGTTTTTATGTAAACATGTTTTTAGTGTGTAGAGTCACGTGTGTGTGTGTGTGTATATATATATATATATATATATATATATATATATATTGGATAGATTAGTAGATAGATAGATAGATATTTATATAGATATATGTAGCACCCTCCTTTAGTTAGGCTGCTAGGCTAAATTTTGTTTTTAACTTCACTGTGGAGCAGTAATCTATTCTTTTTGACTGGCCAGGATTTCCTAGCTGGGTGTTTGATTTTTCACACCTGCTTCTGGGAGAAGCTTCCAGAATATAGGGCAGGGAGGATAAAATGTCCAGGATGGATATTTAGCTTGCCTCAGCCGATCCCTGAAAGGAAGCATTCAGAAGGTGGCTGGGGAGATGATAAATGTTTGCCAGTTCTTCTGGGGCTGCTGCCCCTTGGAACAACTAGAGTGTGCAGAAGAACTACAATTTTGGCCTCAGCAAGTGCTGGAATGAGGGCCTGAAGGAGATTACTAATAGATTTTTGGCACTGTCCTGAGTCATGTTCTGCAGAAGGATCATTTATCTACTTCATTGAGGAACTACCTGTGGAAGGTGGATTGCAGTTAGCTCCTGGGACATTGTGAGCAAGAAATACTGTGGGACTTTCATGTGTGCCTGTATCTATATGGATATGTGCTGGACATTTGTCCTCTCATTGATAGTTTTTGAGTATCCTGAACACCTCTCCTGTTTCAATTTACTCACAAATAAATTCTATAAAGACATCCCCCAGATTGAGCCTGTATTGTTGGTGTGCATGGAACTGTGCTTGTGACAGGGAGCATCTGTATTAGTAAGGGAGACCTGACATATTCTCAGTGGCCCCTGGGGGTGAGCACTATATAAAAAAAAATAATATAATAATCCTAAAAAATATATAAAGGAACCTTTGATTCAACTAGCTATTGATAATGAAGATGACTGAACGCATCGAAGCAACTCAACACCAACAGTTTTATCCAAATGAAACAGCCAGAACTGATGGTGGTTGGATGCCAATGGATTGATCTGGATCATAATATTTGTAATTGAAAGATGGTGAAATTGGCTGGACATGGCACATATAGCCTAGTGTATAGCCAATATAAGATTTCATATTGCTGCAGAGAGCACGTACTGTATATGCTGGTCCAAGACCCACCCCATTGGACAGTAAAGGTACAGGGGTATTCACTGTGCTGTCCTATTCTGTGCCTTTTTCAGAAGCAATAGAGCTCTGATTTGCTTCCAGTGCTCCCCTTCATTTCCAAATCTCTTAGTGCTACCTTACAGAGCATTGCAAAAAAGCTAAATAATCAAGTACTTGTACTAATTGTATTTTAAATATATGTGATAATTTATTTAAATACAAAACTATATATTTTTTTTTATATTTACCTGATTCTCAGGTTTAATATTAATCAGGTTATACTATTTTTTGCCAGGTAAGTAATGGGCTTAACTAAAAAAATTTTCCAATTAGTTTTTACTTCTTTATGTTTCATTAGGTGGAAATTAGTCTTCAGAGCAGCTTCCAACCAGGAATGAAACTGGAAGTGGCCAATAAGAATAGTCCAGATACATACTGGGTTGCAACTATAATTACAACATGTGGACAGTTACTTCTGCTGAGGTATTGTGGCTATGGAGAAGATCGCAGGGCAGACTTCTGGTGTGATGTCATGACTGCAGATCTGCACCCTGTTGGTTGGTGTACTCAAAATAACAAAGTCTTGATGCCTCCAGATGGTAAGACCAACCAATGATATTCATTTTCTGTACTATGTTTTGTCTACGCTCATCACACTGTCACATATTGCTTGTCAGTCATTTGCTTGACAGTCATGTTATACGATTTAAGTTCTTAAATAGTAATCTCCTAAAACTTGAAGCTGATATCTGCAAATATAGACTGGTAGCACACAATGCTGTGTATGGCACAGCTAGGGTGATTTTGCTAGGTGAGGACACTTCTAAATTGCTGACAGTATGTTACAGGGTTGGACTGCACCCTTAGTCATAACTATACCACAAGAATGATTCAGATGACTAATACCTCACATCGGTTTTGAGGGAATAAATTCCCCTGTTTTAGAGTACTTTTATGACCTATGAAAGCTAAGAAATGTATGTTTTTGCAGCCTGAGATGTAGAGATAAAGCCACAAGCAGGTTTTATTAGTCATGTATTTGAATTGCTGATTGTCTTATTATTTGCTCTTCCAAAATACTTTGGTAATACTTTGCAGAAACATTGAAACAAATTTTAAGGAAATAAGAATCTTAATAAGGTTTTCTTTAATAATATAGGGTTCAATAACTATAAAATTAAAGCTTAATTAATGTTCTGCAATGCAATAAGGCTGTTTAAGGAAAAAAGTGTTTTTCCTATTGCTTTCACCTTTTGTGCTTAGTGAATTTTACTATGCAAAAAATATCTGTTTAAGAACATGAGTATATACCATACTTGGATGTGGGAAAAAGCAGCATATGATGTTCCTTTAATTTTTATCAGTCTGACTGGTATAATCTGCCGGTGCATATTAGTTGCCTATTTATAAAAAGTCTATAGGTGTTTTTTATTTATACGGCAATAATGAAAATGCCTGAGGATCAGAAATTTACAATTGTATTGCATCGGTAGACATGGTAATATAGCATTAATGTATGAATTGCAAACACTATACAATGTCCATATAATGTTGTGTTGAATAAATCTATTGTAAGAAGCGACTGCTTTCTGGAAAATCACATTATTAGGTTTTTTTTTTTTCCAAATTATAGCAACTCAGTGCAGCTAATTTTTACAATGTAGGAGTAGAGGCTGTTCATGTAGCAGAATACAGTATATGTTCACTGTGAAAAGTTCATATAGCTTAGTATATATATTGAGGCTATATTAATTTACATTCCCAATTATGTGTAAGGAAAATAAAAAAAGCACTATGTTTGCTTGAACATGATTGAATAATTGTGTTGAATATACCTTTGCTTTATTTATTAGACTAAGTAAGCAGTCTCTACCACTTTAGTAAATAAACCCAATTCATCAAGCTTCTTAGCAGCAGGATTTGCAATAGAGATTTTATGTGTATTTTCAGTCTCTGCTTGCAGCCCTACATAGTCTGTACAACAATTTTTTAAACCACTGTGACAGATTTATCTTTTTTCTTGTGTCAGTTTTCCACCTAAAACACAGTCTTTAGGGAGTGGATTGAAACATATTTTAAAGTGGCACTGTGCTACATATGAGTAGGGGCAAATTTAGCTACAATTTTATTGTAAGTCTATATTCATGCTCTTGTTTTGCAGTGCTTTGCCTTGCCAATAAATCTCCATTGATCTGCTTTTCTTTCAAAATAAAATAGGTAGTTTGGCTTTGTTATTTACAATTTTTATTTTTTTTCTTACCTTGCTGTCAAAGCTAATAATTTTCAATTAAGAGATCTTCTTACTATGACCAGGACAATGAGGCATCTGTACACCTTTACTAAAATTGGCATGCCTCCTTCAGTTGTTAGCCCTTGTTGTGCCAGAGAAGATTTGTGAAAAGAACAAAACTTAACATAATATTTCTATGGCACACTATGATAGTAGCCTTTTTCTAAAATGTGTATAAATAGTCAGTTATGAAATGGCTGCAGCTCCTCTTTAGTTCAGGCAAATCCTCTAAACACTACTACAGTGGTCTCCAAACTGTAGAGCCCAGGGGCTGAATGTTGCCCTTTGCTTGCCATTATCTGGTGCTTTGGGCACTACTCCACCAATTGACACCAATGATGGAGTACCATTCCCCCTACTGACACCATCAATGGGGCACTATTGTTTTAATTTATATCACAATGGGGCATTATTCCTTCCATTAAAACCAATGATGGGGCACTGATGCTGGAGCATATTCTATTCCCACTGGCCACAGCCTGGCCCCCCAAAAGCATACAGGACAGTAAACTGGCACTTTGCTTAGAAAGTCTGGAGACCCCTACACTAATGCACAAAAAGAGGGAAGAGAAAAGGGTTCGACCATCTAAGTATAGATTTATTAAAACATGAGATTAAAAATGACAAGTGCACTCACAAGTGGCCCAGAACTGCAGGCATTGCATCATCCTAATCATCATCATCATCATCATCATCATCAGAGGCATCAGTGTAGGATGGTGCCTGGAGATATGGTTGGTGAAACCTACTAGCAGAGTTTAGCAGGCAAGCGGCCAGAGATTTGCAGGGTTACATTGGGAAAAGTTTGTATGATGTGTGATAACAGACAAGAGCCAGTGTGGAAAGCACAGAGATACAGGACTGCAGCTGGCAGTTTCAGGGCCATATATATTGTACAGTCCCTAACCCTCAAGGGGTGTACAATCTAAGGTCTCTAACTCACATTCATACATACTAGGGCCAATTTGGATAGGAATCAATTCACCTACCAGCATGTCTTTGGAGTGAGTCCAAAAAACAAAACTTTGACAAACACTGCTTATGGAGGATAGATAAATAGAGAGATAGAGAGATAGAGAGATAGATAGATAGATAGATAGATAGATAGATAGATAGATAGATAGATAGGTAATAGTCACCTTTTCTATATACTGTATATTATGATTATGTTTCTTTAAGCTATTAATGATGATTGTGCATCACTAATAAAAAGGGTGCACATACTTGCTTTGAAGCAAGATTCTCCTAGTTTTGAAATGCAATGACTATTTGTAGCTCTGCTTGTTTAATAATAAAAAAAAAATCTAGACTTCATTTTGCTTTGTCTTATTTAACATTGAGAAGATTTAATATACAGAATTTGTCTTTTCCTGTCTGAAGTCTTAGCGAACTGGGTGCAGGAATGCCAGGCAAGAGCCAAAACCTCCCACTGATTACTGTGCAAGAAGATAGTTATTGCTTTGCTGCCTGAGGGAAGAGCAGTTCATAGAGAACGTGGAAGCCACCCTGTCGTGTTCTTGAAAAGTGATTTCATGTGCAGCGTTGAGCCTCAGAGGGTTGACTTCGCTAAAGATAGATTGAAGAAAGGGAAAGCAGCTGAAGCTGTTGATTGTTGGCTAAAGGCAATGATCTGCCATGCTAGCTGCATAATTTCAAATGAAGATGATTTGGTTCTTGTAGGACAAGAAATATATTTTTTGGAATGTGAGCATTTTAAACAGTTTGTCCTCCCAGTGCTGTAAACAGCTGCTACTTATAATACTAAAGGCAATCATTTATTTTACTAATGAAATATGTGTTTACATATGAAAATGTGGTAATTATGATTACAAAAATATGATCATTTATGTTTACAAAATAAATACTCATTTATTGTGCATGTGCTATTTTTTGTAAATTTGAATGTAGTTCAGAAAACATCAGTATCCAAGTACACTAGTGATCCCCAGGCCTTATGTATTTTTGTATTTAAAGGGAAGAGCCAATTCTATGTTGAATAAACATGAGGGAAAAATTTGGATTGGTTTCTATTGGTGACACTGACAGTTTTTACTTCATACAGTGTTATGCATCATGTGATAGAGAACTTTTCATTTTCACTTGAAAAGAGGAAGTTATTATAGAGAATGTAGCACTTCAACAGAATTGTAATAAATCCATTTTTTGTAAGAACTGACTGTGAACAACTCACAATCAATATAAAATGCACATACGTTTAGTTATTTTCTTTTTAACTAAACAAAACTCTATTTAACATATATAACATATAATAAGATTGATATCATTTGCAAAACTGTTGTAGTCTAGGGTGTTTCAGTTATAGGGTGTTAGACCAAGTGCTTAGAGATAAATAACTGCTGCAATTCAGGTTGAGGACATTTCCTAGAAAACGTCAACAAAACCTTCCCAATAATTAGGCTTCTCAGAATCATTTTATTAATCAGCATATGGATCTCTGTGTGTATTTCTTATCAATTCTTTAGATCTCTTAACGGTCTGTAAACATTTTCTTAGAAATTCTGCAGCTCTTTGTAATTCCACTATCAGGAACTAAAAAGCATAATGTAAATACATTGATTTGAAGTGTTATTGAATTTAAAGTAGACAAAAAAGTATCAGCTAGCTGCTCTGGTTGAAAATGACCAACACTAATCTTACAGTAAAATCAAATCCAGGTTGCTAACAATTTGTGTATGATATTATTTTAAATCCTTTAAAAAAAAAAACTATTTTTTGGGTGGCATTACTTACTATACTGATCTTAACCATACTACATTTAAGCAGGGTGGATAAAATTTTTTTAATTTAAATCAGATTTTTTTTATTTTTATCAAATTTATTTTAATAAAATGTGTTTGGAGTAAAAATATATCTAAAGATAGTTTTCTAGATAGATAGATTTTTAGATACATTAATAATTCAGTTTATTCAGCATGAAATTGAGCTTAGTTATGTAGCATGAGGTTGTATATTCTGCAGTATTTAAAATTTTGGTAAACTCATTCAATGAATCTAAGCTCTGCAAGCTGAGATAACATGCACTGCATTGATGCATTCACAAAATTTCACAGTAACCATGAGAAAAATCATGAAATAAAAGAATTTGAGTAGTTCTCCAACTATGTGTGATTAACCTATTAACCTAAAATTGGTTCTGATATCGTTGTTTT